CCCCAAAACCCCAAAACCCCAAAACCCCAAAACCCCATGGAGATAAAATTTATATATAAAAAAGATAGAAATTATAAAGAAATCTAGTAGAATTTATAAAATGAGTAATAATTTTATGGCATCTAATTTAAGTGCTGGGGGCTAGACTTCACCATTTTATGGGTCTTCAAAGCCTATGTACTTAGGGGATGAAAAAAATCTAAAGAAAAAAAGAGGAATGGATCTGCTACAAACTGAAGAGGATGAAGAGGATACAGGGCATGAGTATTCAAAAATTTAATCAGGATCGTAGCTATAATAAACTGCACAGCAATATATTCAAATGAATTCCCAGTTCAATCTAACTTAGAATAACAATAAGTTTTAGAGTGTGATTGGAGGAGGTCCTTCAATGATGCGAGACAAGAGCCCCATTGCAAGTACTCTCTACCAGGACTCATTTAGTATTGATAACACTAATAATTCTTCTCTGAATAATAGTTTCATGGGAGGAATCAATGACCCTAGTACCAAGAGTAGAACACAGAAGAATTAAAATTAATTTCATGGCCTAACTCCAGGTGGAGGTATAAATCCAAACACTAATTCTAGTTAAAACATGAATAAAAGCAGGTTTGATGAAGAGAAGAGCTTTACTAATGAAAATAAGCATTTGAATCACAATGGTCCTACGATAAGCGTAATCAATTATAATAACCCCACGATCAATAATACTTAGATTAATCTATCGAATGATCCAATATTATCAAGGGTATATCAATATGGAACCTAAATGGATAATTAGCCTAGTAGTAACGCATATGAAGATGAAGAATTCTATGACTAGCTTAACTATTCTAAGATGAACTAAAATGCAAATAATAAGCAGAAAAACTAAAAATCAAAGAATCAACCATAACAGCAACCAAATATTTCTAGCCTAAATAATTCTCAATTTGGCCCGAATCCTTATAAAACTCAAGGTCAAAGTAGTGCTCTAGGCTAGAAACTTTCAAGCTTGGCATCAGCAACTATGAATCAACAAGCAACTGCTGTAATGAAGACTGTTTCTCTAGCTAATCCTTATGCTGATGATCTTAGCAAAACTACGAAGAACATAAATCAGCCGATGAGTCAGTAAATATCTAGATAAAATTCTAGATCTGATATGGAATAATCAGATATTGAGGAAATAGAATAAGAAGTATCCAAGAAAAAGGTAGTGAGAAAAAAAATTATTAAAAAAATTATCAAGAAAAAGAATCCTGATGGAACTGATGCACCTCCTTAAGTTATTACAACAATAGTTGAAAAGAAAGTTAATGATAAATCCAAAGTTTCTGAAACAGGGGATTCATAATAATTAAACTTAAAATAAGGACCACCAATGGCCTAGGTTAATAACATTTAAGTAATAAGCGAAGAATAAAAATAAGAAAATGATTAATAGCCTATTTAGTAGCCTAAAAGAAGAGTTATTAAGAAAATCATAAAGAAAAAGGCTAAACCACAAACAGAAAATACGGTTCAGGCAGAGGAAGAAATAATTTCAAAGAACAACATCGATTAAAAATCTGATTTTTAAGAAGCTAAACAGATAAAACAGTTAGAGGAGCCGAAAAAAATGTAAATAAAACTAAAAGAAGAGACGAAAAAGTTATAACAATAGGATTAATAAGTAATTCCAAAGTCAATAATGAAAAAACCAAAGCATAAACAAGAATCATCAGAAGAGGAGGAAGAGAACAAAGATGAATAATTATCTGAAGACGAAGCTTAAGTAATCTCTAAAAAAAGAGGTAGATAACAGAGAGACGAGTAACCCAAGAAAACTTAGAAACAGAAGATTCCTTAAAAAGTGAATAAAAGAGGTGATTCAAATGAAGATGAGACAAAGTAGAAAGTAAAACGAAGGAGAGAGGTATCTCAAAGTCAATCTGATAAAGAAGGGAATTCGTAAGAAAGCTAAAGCGACGAGGAAGTGAAAGAAATAATAGCGAAGAAATAAAAGAAAAAATAAGAAGATTTCAAGAGTAAATAAAAGAGAGCTTAGTCTGAAGTGCCAAATAGAAAAGGTAGGAAAAGTAACTAAGAAAGAGCTTCTAAATAGAAGAAAAAGCACGTATCAGCATCAGATGAAGAAGGAGCCTCTTCAGAGGAGGAAGAAGATGACAGCTAAGAAGAAGATTACGATAGTGAAGATAGAAATGATGCAGAGGGCTCAGATGATAGCCATACTCGCAGAATTAAAAAATTTAAGAGACAATAATAAAAATTAGCTCTCTAGCAGTAACAATTGAATAAGGAGAAATAAAAGCTTGAATAATAAAAAACAGCAATAATATAATCATAGTAAAATTCTCAAACTAACTAGACTGGCAAGAATGGCTCTGCTCCGCTCATTCAAAAGCCTATGTCTTTTAAAGTAGCAATATGTGATGCTGAATCCTACAAAGCATTTGTAGATTAAATAGTTTATGGAAGCAGATTAAAAGAACTGATTATGAATCCCATTCCTTTCTAAATGGGCTAACTAAAATTCACCATTGAGAGACATAGGTCAGGTTTTAATAGATTACATCCTAGTTATTATTTTTACCTCGAAAAAAATTAAGGAGGACGCTTGCTGATGCTTTATGCTAAAAAGCGAGCTTTCAATAAAACAGCTAACTACCTTATATCTATGGAAAAGAATAAAAAGACTAGAAGTAACGACGTGTGTTTGGGAAAGTTAAGAGCTAATCCAGAATGTGATAAGTATACGCTTTACGACAACGGAGAAAACTATACAAAATCTTCTTAATTCTAGCCAGATTAAATAAGGAATGAACACGGAGTATACCAGTATAGATATGAACCTTGTAATGTAGGCAATATCAGGAAAATGGTTGTAATACTGCCAACACTTATTTAAACAAACTTGCCAAGTCATGCTAAGATAGATAACACTTTACCATTAGGCCAAGACTCAAATGGAAATCTAGTAGTGATGACCTAAAAGCCTTGGAAACCACTAAGAGTAAGTTTAAATAATTAGACAGTCAATCTTATACATTTTTTAGGACTAGGATACAATAATCGAGACATATACCAGAGAAATGGTAAGAAATCAAGGTTATCAGGTATTTGTTGATAATCCACCAGCTTGGAATCCAAGTAATCACTCTAATAACTAACTAATTATAGAAACAAACACATATGTGTATGACTTTAAGGGAAGAGTTACATAGCCTTCTATTAAGAATTTTCAATTGATACCAGAGATGGATGGTCGTAGATAGGTTACTCTTTAAGATTTTGTGTTGTAATTCGGTAAGAACGGAAAGGACTAATTTATCTTGGATGTCCAGTATCCTTTCTCGGTATTTTAGGCATTCGGTTTAGCTCTATCAGCATTTGACACAGATTGAGGAGGATTTGAAGATTATAAATAATCTGTATCTTTACCCAAAGTCAAATCATCTGTTTAATATTATTAACATTATAAAAACGAGTTGTAGAAGTTGTAATATTCAAATTGATATATTCTTAATTATCTTTTTTAATAAATTTCAAAAATCTGCCCAATGGGGTTTTGGGGTTTTGGGGTTTTGGGGTTTTGGGG